GTTTAGGGTTTAGGGCTTAGGATTTAGGGTTTCGCTTACTTACGGAGACGTAGATGCTGCAGGGGGTGGGTAGCTTAGGTGGGGTTTAGGGTTTCGGGTTTAGGGTTTAGGGTTTCGGGTTTCGGGTTTAGGGCTCGAAAAGGGTTGAGCAGGCATGAGGAATGTTGGGTCTACAATTTCGGGTTGATTGGGGTTCAACTGCTCTCAACACAAGGCTCCCTTCAGCCCCCCAAAGCACCAGGCTGCAGGACGGTCTTGGCTGCTCCCTAAACCCTAACCCCTAAACCCTAAACCCTTGGGTGGGTTCAGTTCAGGGGTTCCTCACATCGAAAATCCCCCCCCCCCCCCCCCCCCCCCCCCCCCAGATCCCGCGGAGCCCGAGCCACAAACCCCGCTGTTTTGTATCAGGGTTCAGGAATCTAGACTAGGTGGGACTTTTGTCACTTTATAAGTTTAGGGTTCCTCTAATTTCATATTAATGGGAGCGAAAAAGTTAAACTTTCATTGGGGTGTTAAAGAGCAACCAAGTAGCAACCAAGTAGAGGCCTAAAACTTGTGTGTAGCGTTGAGGCTCCTTGTCAATCGCTAAGAATTGTTAGGACCTTTTTCCGAAGGGGCGAGAACAAGACTGATTGTTGAAAAGGTTCCTGGACCCCGGTCCCTTTAACTCTAAATCATGAGTTTTGCAACATGGTTCCTAAACATTAAACCTACATACTCAGATATGCCTCTAGAAGCGTTTCATTGTGATGTCGGAAGTTCCGCAAACCCTAAAACCCTTAAACCCGAAAACCCTCACACCCGTTTGTAAAGGTCCGATTCAGAAGTTGGCAACTGATTATAGTCTTAGGGGCTTGAAACCCAAAACCCAAAACCCGTTTTCGGTTTAGGGTGTTTGAGAAGGTTCCATCCAGGGTTCGGGTCTTACTTTCAGTGAGACCTTGGGGGATCGAGGGTAGACCCGTATTCCCTTGGCTAGGGTGTAGGGCTTAGGGGGCTTAGGGGGCTTAGGGGGTTTAGGGTTTAGGGTTCGGTTACCCTCTGAGCCCACTTTAAAACACCAAGCCCGTTTACTTCCTAGGCTGCTCTGGGGCCAGGGTGTCGTTCGGGATTTTTTGCTGTCATCGGTCGCTGGTCTATGCTTTGATTTGTCAGGGCTTGCAGCCTTTTTTGCTTGGTGCGGGCCTCACACACTTCGAGCGCAATTTTTCCTGAACAGACCTTGCCCAAGCCTAGGCGAAAGCATGCAGAAAGCTATCGCTGTTCTCTCTAAGCAGTTGGCCCCTTATTCCCTTTTTTCCCCTTGCGTCTTCTTTTTTTAAGGGTGGGGGGGGTGGGGGGGGGGGATTGGTTTGGGTTCTCTGATTACGAAAACACCCTGTATTCAGAAAAGGGCACGATCCCTAAACCCTAAACCCTAAACGCTAAACCCTAAACCCTAAACCCTAAACCCCCGCCTCTCCAGCTTCCCCAATGCCCCGAGGTCCATTTTGCCACGAGGTTTAGTGTCTTGGGTTTACGTGACAGTCTTAGTGTTAGGGTTGGGATGTTCCCCCTTATACTAGCAGCTCCTTACTTGGGATGGTAATAGGGGGTTACTAGAATCCCCATTTAAGGGCTGTAAGTATAAGGGGGAAAATCCCAAGTTTTAGGTTTGGGGTTTAGAGTTTTGGTTTACGGCATCATCCACCTGATCTCGAAACATTCCTTAGCACTGAAGTCCAAGCTGTCAGCAATGAGACAATATGCACAGTTCGGAACCCTTGAAGCCTGAACCCAAAAAACCCGAACTAAACCTTAAGCTAGACCTCTTTGGAAGCCCTTTTGATTCTTCAATTGGCCAAGCAATCACCTCTCGACACTCTCCCATCTCATACTGTTTCGGGTTTAGGGTGTCTTTGCAGTGTGTCGAGCGCTGAGGCCCGCCGGGTACATGTTACTTTTTACTATCTTCTGCAGAGTTTGGAAAAGGCGATATGCATGCACGGCAGATGCACGGGGTCCACAACGAGTATGAGCAATCTTTGACATGCTACAGGACTCGGAGAAGAAATGCTCTGACATCTCCGATTCCCTTCAGGTTCCCTTAACCCTAAACCCTAAGCCCTAAACCCTAAACCCCCCAAACCCTAAACCCTAAACCCTTCAAAGCGCCAGTCTAGCCCCACAATTGGCGGCAGGTTCGTCTGGCAACAAGCCTCAAAAACCGATGTTTCCTTAATGGCAGTTCATAGGAGTAGCATTTAGGGTTCACTTGGTTCCCAGCATACTAGGTTATCGGCAAAAAGATCGGCAGGAAATGTCGAATTTCGCAACAAGTGGGCGTTCGCAAAATGTCGCCTTACGCAAAGAGTGCTCTCTCGCAAAGAGCGGCTTTTGCTCTGCACATGGTGCCTTCTTGTCTTTCGGAACTTACGAGGTTAAACTCAGGGCCCGAATTTGGAAATTTGATCCATTTCGGCCCCTCTGACCCCTTTGGCCCCCCGATTGTTCAGCACGA